CCGCCCCCCCCGGCCTCCCCACCAGGGGCAGAGCTCGGGCAGCTCCCAGACCCCCCCGGCCCCGCAGCCTCGGCCGCCCCCTGGAGAAGCAGAGATGAGACAGGGCCGGGGTTGGTTTCTTTATTAACTGAGTCTGACAGCTGGTGTACAGGGAAATGATCTATACATCAGGGGCTAAGACAGGGAGATCCAAAAGGCTTGTTTCCGTAACAGTTAAAAAAAGGAAATAAAAGTAATTTTTAAAACTTCTAAAAAGCTTCTAGTGTGCAGACTGCAGCATTCTCTAGGCTCAATGTCGGGTGCAGCCACCCCCTACCAGCCCTACGAGCGATCTGAGCGCGAAGCGGTGTCACTGCAGGTGCCGGGCGCGGTTGCAGCACAGCACATTCCCTACGGCGCACACACAGGCCAAAGCACGGGACCCACACACAACTCTACGGTGATGCTACGGAGTCAGCGGTCGCAGTGGGCCTACGGAGGTTATTGTACACAGCAAGGGCGACGGATGGAGTCTGTGCCTGTATGGCTCAACTTCAGGGTGGGAAGGGGTTGCTTTGCTCTCCAAGGCTAAGCTGGGTCGTCTGCTTCACTGCAGCGAGGCTTCTGCCTGACTGCAGGGGAACCAGGACTGTCCCCAGCAGCCACGCACCCGCGCGACAGGGAGCTGCCCTGCCAGGGCCACCTCCCGGGGCCCAAGGCTGGAGGTAGGCTCATTCTGCACGTGGCCACAGAGAGCAAACTCAGGCCCTGCCAACCAGGCCCATGGCCACCTCCGAGGAAAAGAGCAGGGGGGTCCCACACCACTGTGCTAGGAAGGCCAGGCCCCCACATTGCTTAGGGAAATGACAGCGCCAGGGACATGAGACCTACAGCACTACCTGCACCCTGCCCTCCTGGGGCCAAGTGCGGCAGCAGATTCCACCTACCACACACCGCAGAGCTGCCACTTGCCCAGCACCACTGTCCCATCAGAGCCCCTGGCCCTGGGGCTGCCCTTGCTCCCAGGATGACTGCAGGGTCCAGGCTGCCGCAGCGTGACACTCCACCTGGCCAAAGCGCAGGCACCGGGGGAGCAGCCCCCCACGTCTCTGGGATTGGTCCTGGGAGGGTCAGCATCCACGGGGCCACCGGGCTGTCCTCATCTGTGCCCCAGCAGGGAGGCCAGGGGACCCTGCAAAGCCCTTGCACAGGGTGCGTGGTGCAGGGCAGCTGGCTCCTGCCAGCTCCTGGCTCATCTCCTGAGCAGATATTGTGCTGAGTAGAGCTCGGCAAAACTCCGTGCATGGCACAAGCATCCCCTGCTCTGTCTCGCTACCCCTCGTCCTGGGCCCCAAGCACCTCACTACAGACCTACGGCTTCCCCCCAGCTGGAGCCAACACAACCTGGGGCTGGCAAATGTTGGGGCCAGGGGCCTGCACCTGTGGGCCGCTCTCTTCAGGCCGGGAAGGGACCAGGCTCAGCTGGAGGGGCGCAAGGCAGGGGCAGGCTGCTGCCCTTTCGCTCCTGCAGCCTCCCAGCTCCGTTCACCAGAGCTGCTCACATACTCCAGAGGCTTTGCCCATCCTGCAGCCTGAAGAGGTATTTGGGAGCAGAGCTGTTAGTGCTTTGTACATACTGCTAGGGTGTCCCTAGGGGTTTGCATAGTATTTATTGGTTCATATACACAAGGCTGATTGCTGTACAGTTTACACTTTCAACACAAGCAACGAGCTCAGTGCTCAGCCCAGAGCTCTGCCCTGGCGGGAGCGAAGGACAGCCCTGCTCCAACCCCTCTGCCCAGGGCAGTTGTGCTCCCTGCAGCCCTCCTCTCGCACACTCCCTGGCAACTGCTGCCCCCCACCCCCATAACCCAGCACTCACGGAGAGGGATGAGAAGCGAGTCCAGCAGAGGCAGCACGGGCAACGGGGAGGCCGAGCCCCTCTCCTTCCGTGGCGAGCAGCGCCGTGCTGCCTCAGCTTCCCTCTTGCAGCTGGAGCACCGGCATGGGGATGCATTTACACACGTGAACGCGCGAGGGTGGAGTCTCCTTCCCTCTCGTTTTCTGCCAGTCCAGCTCTTGCCTCCCAGATCTGCTGAGAGGATGCCCCTGGTGCGTGCTGCTGTCTCTGGGCTCCTGGCAGCAGCGGGGCAGGACGGAGGCCCCTCCGTCAGTTTTAAGTACTGTAGCTCATGCGTCTTGCAGTCAATCAGTCATGCGGCTAGGACGGTAAGTATGTCTCATACAGAAATCATGCCATTAGCCTATAGAAACATGTACAGCCAGCCCTGCTCCCCTCCACTCTGCTTTCCTCTCCTCTCTTCTCAGGTATGTGTCAGATCGTGTGTGGAGTTCAGTGGTTTGGTGTTGAGGTGAGATCCTGGAGAGACACAGAGAGAGACAGAGATGCGGTGACCAGGCATTTGTGGTGGCACAGTCGGGAGAAGGGTGGGGGCAGCGGGGTATGTGGCAGTCCCAGCCCCTTCTTCGCCCTGTGCTTGTCCCACATGCATCCATCCTGCCCAGCTACCACAAGAAAAGTTTTGGGTGGTGTCAGAGAGACAGTGACAAAGCACCAATAAGTGTCCTGCCTGGGACCAGCACCAATGGCATAGATGGTATTGGTGGCGCTGTCCCAGCTTGCAGAGAGCAGCAACAAGCAGGAGCTGAGCTGCACTGGAGGCAATGTGGCTCTGGGAAGGAAATGGGAGGGCTGCTGTATGCTCTGGGGTAGAGGAGGCCGGCCCTGAGAAGTCCCCAGCTGAACTAGGGTGGCTGACTGCACCTCACTCTCACAGCAGTGGGGAAGACTCCATACATTCCTAGTGCACACCCTGGCCCCTTTCGGATGCTACAGAAAACAGCAAGAGCAGTGCAGCAGGAGTGCTGCCCCAGAGAGAGGCAGACAAGGGACTGCTGGGGAGTGGGGCAGGCAGTAGGTGTGAGGACATGGTCTGTGTGAGCACTTACCCTCCTGCGCACCCACAGAGCGCCCACTAACACAGTGCAGAGAGAAAGGAGAGGGAGGACAGAGAGACAGACACAGCCACGCGTGTACCACGGAGGGCAGAGGACTGACCGCCCTGCCCGGCAGTCTCCTCCCCAGCTCAGGCAGGGCCTGGCAGCGGGTCAGCCTGCGGCACCTTCCCCCAAACGCTGCACTGCCAGCCCAGCAGCGAGCGTGCAGAGACCAGTGATGCAGCTGGGTCCAAGCGTGCTGTGCCAAGCACCCTGCCCCAAGCCCAGCCTAGTGCCCCAACAGGGAAGGCAGGGGAGAGCAAGGAATACACACAGCTCAAGGGATGATCACATGGGGGATCAATGGAAGACACGTCCTGGGCCAAAGACAGGTCTCTTGCCCTACAAGCATTGTGTTCCTGCACCCTGCCACTCCTGCATCCCTCCTGCCCTGGTGTCTGCCAGCAGTGTCTTGCCACGCCTGCACTCCATTTCCCAGTCCCAGGAGCTCCGGCCCTCCTCACTGCCATCCCCTCCTGCCACGGAGTGTGGCTGGCAGCGGCAGCCACCCGTGTCCCCAGCACAGCGCTGCAAGGCCGCGGCCCAGCAGAACTGAGACACCTCTCATTCGGCTGACGGCTCTGTTGGCGCCCGCCGCAATCTGGGGAAGGGGAGGCGGGGGCACCAGGCTCTCGGGTCTCATCTGCCTCAGGGCTGCACAGTTAGTGCTCGTGCAGGATGGGGACAGCTCTGCTCAGCCACCATGCATGTGCTATCCGCGCCCCAGAGTGGTTTTGGACAAAGATCATCCCTTTGCTGTAGCCCAGCGTCAGCAGAAGTAACCACCCCGTGTCTCTGTCACCCGAGACCATCACCCCGAGTGCCCTGGATGCTGTGGCCACAGTGGAGCGCTGAGTGCGGGGCCAGCAGCTGGCCAGAGCATCGCTGCAGAGCAGGGCAGCCCTGCCCGCTGCACCCAGGCCCTGGGCCCAGGAGGGGTCAGCAGCAGGGACACACCGCTGCCCACCCCCAGCATTTTGTGCTGCACTGCAACTCCTCTCTGCAGGTCAAGACCTGGGCACAGCCCCGTTACACTTTCCCCAGGAGGATGTGCAGGACCAGCAGCTCAGTGCAGGCAGCAGCATGGGGAGCTGGGAGAGAAGGAAGAGCAAAGGCAGGGTTACCTCAAAAGAGGCCATTTGAGGGGTCACTGCTTCCCCCTTTTCAGGCTGGCTCGTTTCACTATCTGAGCCCCCATCCTGCCCCCGGAGACCTCTGGTTTCAGGACACGCACTCGCACCTCCTCCTGAGGAAGGTGCAGGGGCAGGAAGCAGGACATCAGCCAGGTGAACAGACAGACATAGAGAAGAGGACAGGAGAGGGAAAGGCAGAGTCAGTTGGCAGAAGACACTGAGCAAGAAGAGTGGTGCAGTGGGCAAGAGCTGCCCCTGGAAGCCTTAGAGGGGAAACAGGAAGGGAGAACAGGGCAGAAGGTTGCAGAGTCCCAGAGCCTGCAGAGGCGGTGCTGGCCCCGGGCAGGGTGCCTGCAAGGCAAGGCCCTGAGCCACACTGTACCTTGGCCCCCAGACCGTCCCGGTGCAGGATGGAGTATTTCATGAAGTGATCGTCCTCAGCCTCCAGGTCCTGGGGCTCCTGCAGGGAGCCCTCCAGAATCAGCTCCTCCTGCTCCTGCCTGTCATCCCTGTCACCAGGGCCCAGCTGATGCACGACCTTCCGGATGACCTGCGGAGACCCGCACAGCCGGGCATCACCGCTCGCCCAGGACACCACACCTCCCCCCTCGCCCCGTCTGGCCCACGGTGTGCAGCCTCTGCCCCACGCGCCGGGTCTGACCGGAGAAGTGCCGTGACCATAACCGGTGGGACGCGGGTGCCCTGCATGGGCCCCTGGGCTGCAGGGGGGAGCGGGGCAGCCAGGAGGAGGGGAGAGGAGAAAGGCCGCAGCATGCGCTTGCCCACACCATGCCCTTGATCACTCACCTTCTTGGTGATGATATTGCCTTGATCATCTGTGAACTGCTCCTCAGTCACCTGCTCCCCAGGCAGGTGAAGGACTTCATTCCCCTGCAGTGACAGAAGGGACATCGGGGCATTTCAGGGGTGTAAGGGGAGGCCCTTTGCAGGCAGAACAGTACAACTGACATGCACCCCACAGCCTCTGTCTCCCAGCCGGCCCATCCCTTTACTGCTCTCCCCTGCAGAGCCTCGGGGCTGGTCCTCAGCTCCCTGCTCATTACCTTCACAAGGACCCGCCGGCGGACGACTCTGGTGGAGAGAGCCTCCTCGTCGTCCGCCAGCCCCTGGCTCTCCCCGAGCTCCTTGTCCAGCTCCCGGTGAGCGTGTTTGAGCAGGAAGCGGACAGAGCCCTTGACGATGTGCATGACGTTCTGGCAGCTGACCAGGAAGAAGGCCAGCAGCACCAGGGCGATCAGCAGCTGGGCCAGGAAAGCCCACATCCTGCCCCAGCACACGCAGCTGCGTGCACTCCCCACGGGTCTGAGCCCGCCGCTCAGAGCCCTGCCATGCTGCCCGGGACGGGCAGAGCCCCGGGGCAGGAGCAGCGCTGTGGGTCGGTGCCCAGCTCTGAGGGGGCACTGCCGTAACCCTAGCCGCAGCTCAGCTGGCTGTGGGCGGCGAGAAGGGAGCAGGCAGGTGGGGCGTCCTTCGTGCTCTCAGCTTTTGTCAGAGTCATGGGGCCAGGACTGTGACAGCACCACCCGTCCCCAGCCAGGCAGTGACCGGGACAGCCCTGTCCCCCTCCTCCATCAGCCTTCCAACAACCTGCCGTCCTGGCTGTGGCAGGAGGGCAGCACGCAGTCCTCCGTCACGGGACAAATGGAGTCCCGGGCAGGAGCCAGGGCCTGGGGGTGTCACTGGAATTGCACGTGACGTGGGAGGCAGGCGCTGCCAGCTGAGCAACCGCTGCTGAGCTCAGCCGAGCTGCCGGGATGGCTGTGCATGCCCTGGCCAGGGAAAGGGGCTGGCCCTCACCTTGTACCCACTGGCTCTGTGTGGCCATGGCAGAAGGCCCACCACCCAGCCTGGCCCCCAGACCCACTCTATTTCTGGCTCCAGCAGGCTGTTGGGCTGCTGGCCAGAGCAGATACTCAATAAGGAAGCAGGCAGGGAGGCTGGTGGAGTTATAAATGGAGAGCAAGAGCTCAGGTATCAAGCACAGCCGGCTATTTTGGGCTGAGAGGCACCCCCAGGGGCAGGGGGCAGGAAGCGTGCCAGGAGACCTGTGCCTCCGCTAGCACCCGCTCTGCCTGGCTGGCCTTGCGGCAGGCTCAGGAAAGGGCTGTCCAGAGGGTCTCCACCTCCTGCGGGGCCGAGTCCCCCTGCTTTTACTCTCACCTGCCCAAAGAAGTCGCTGTCTGCCTCCTCCTGCCAGCCGCCCATGGGGTGCTGGGGCTGCCAGTCGCTGTCCTCTGCAGAGCTGACCCGCATCAGCTCCACGGCCGGCACCAGGACCTGCTCTTGCTCCTGGCCCTGTGCCCCAGAGGCCGTGGTGTGCGTTGGGAGCAGCCTTCGGGTGACCCCCTCCTGCCAGGAGCCCGCTGTCAGGTCCTGTAGGCAGGAGATAAAGGAGCCTTCTGCATTCCAGTCCCTCAGCCTGGGCACCGGAGAGGGACAGGGAGAGAGAGACAGAGAGAGAGAGGCCGTCAGCTTTGCCACGGAGTGCTGCACCCTGAGCAGCAGCTACCTCCGGCAGGCACGCCGGCGCAGCCTGCACCCCACCAGGCACTGGGCTCCCTGGCCCCCGGCGCTGCCAGGCCCCCGGCACAAGCAGCACAGAACGCAGATGCACAACGGCCACAGGCCTCCTCCCTGCCCACCCCAATGCCTCTAAGGCTCTAAGGTGATGCTGTGGAGCATCGCTAGGCTCTGCCAGGGACCTCAAGGGATCGATGCCACTGGGAAGGTGGGAGGACACAGCCCAGGCTAAGATGGCTCTGCTAAGCACAACCTCCATGCAGGACCTGGCCATCTGCCTGGGGTCCCTCCCAGGTGCTCTGCAAGGAGCCCCCCAGGGCATCTCCAGAGAGATGCGAGGCACTCTGTCTGCTGGGGATGCCCACTCTCCCACGCTGGAGACCAGCAGGGAAGCAAGCAAAGCTGGGAGATGATTGCAGTGGCCTGGCACAGGGCAATAGCTGGCGAAGCAGTTCTGCTCCCCTCCCACAGGCACCCCAGTGCCCCAGGCTGCACCCCAGTACCTGTCTGTGCTCTTCTCCACGACGTGGCTAATGGTAGGTGATGCCGTGATCCTGGCTTGCACTTTCTGCTGAACTGAAACAAAAGAGGCTTCAGTCTCCGTGTCCTGCTCCCCGGTCTCTGGCTGGCGATCACCGGCTGGCATCTTCCCCTCTGGCCTCTGCCCCTCCTCCTGCTCTAGAAGGTCAATCAGGCCATTCATGGCATCTGAGTCCACTGTGTCATCCTCAACCAGGTCCATAGAGCCCAAGTGGTCTGGGCCATGTGCGTCTGCTAGAAGCTGCCCCGGGAACCGGCCTTCACTTGTGGCATCTGAGTCCTCAGCCTTGCTGCACTCCAGAGAGGAGTCCTCAGCAGTCACCAGCGAGGGGGTGAGCCCCAAGGACCACACCTGCATGTCGGACATCTCCATCAGGGCGTCCTGCTCGGTGGCAGCCATGGGGATAGCATCCATGATGGCCACCTCATTCCAGTACTGGTCGGCACGCAGCGGGGATGGCAGCGTGTAATGCAGGGAGGCGGGGGACAGCAGCTCGTCCTGCAGCGAAGCGTAACCTATATGGGCAGACAGAGGCAACATCTCCAGCAGCCGTCTCACACACGCACAAGCACAGTGGGGCGAGAAGGGAAACAGCCTCTGGGAGGGTGCCTGCCCCAGGAACAGCAGTGGTTGTGCCACAGACCCCAGCGGCTGCACTGAGCAGCATGCACACAGCAGCTGCTGCCTTTGCACGGTCCCTAGGAGTGCTGCCATGCCTCCCTTCAAGTCCTGGGGCTGGTCTGTGCAGGCCCTGGGGCTGCCCGCTTCCTGCAGGGAGCACTGGCCTGGGGTCCACACGATGCCCCATCCATGCTGCAGGACACAGGGTGCTCTGCTACCCTGCTCCACCAGCCCCCGGGGCCCTGCCCACAGGCCCTGCCCAGCATCAGCTGGCTGACAGTCAGCCCGGAGTTCAGGTGGTCAAGTCTGGCAGGCCAGACTCCCAGAGTCAACCCCTCTCCACAGCAGAGCAGAGCAGGCTGGCAGTACCAGCGTGTGCAGGGAAGGATGGCCCTGGTACATGTCATGCAACCCCAGAGCCCTGCAGGATGCAGCCAGAGCCCTACAACCCTGCTGGTGTCTCCCAGGCTACAAGCAGCAGTCATGTCCTCATCATCACCTAGGCACACACACACACACCGACTACAGCCAAGCCAGGTGCTCCTGCCGCATCAGTGGCTTTGCTCAGCCTTTTCCAGCCCTCAGCCACTTGCTCCCTTTCTGGCCCTGTAGACCAGCAGAGAACCTGTTCTGGTCCCCAGGCAGCCAGGGATTGCTAGCCACAGCCGAGGCACAGGGGATAGCTGGGACCCCCTGCACGGGGACTACCCCTGCCCCACGCCGGTGCCTGGGCAGGGGCAAGCAGCACAGGGCCAGTGAGGGAAGGAGCGTGGGGCAGTGCAGGAGAAGGCCCGGGGTGGCTGCCTGCAAGCATGACAGCCATGAGAGGGGCAGTCCCTGGTGACGTGCAGTCGCTGGAGCAGGATGTGGCTCCCGGAGGGCTCAGCTGAGGTGGAGACAGTGGAGACAGGCAGTGGAGAAGATGAGAGAAGGAGAGGCCAGGATGAGCTCAGAGGAGAGAGGTGACAAGACTTGACGCACAAGATGCCCGCACCTCACGGCGCTAGGCAGCATGTTTGAGAGAGCAGAACAAGGGGAGAGACAAAGAGGCAGAGAGCGATGAGCCAGTGCCACAGCGCAGGGCTGCCGCAGCGCAAAGCCTGGTCCCTGCTCCTTGCTGGCACGCACCGCAGCTGGCACCGGACGCGTCCCCACACCCAGGCATGCTCCGCCTGGGGCCCAGCCTGAGCGCACCGCCACAGCCAGCATCCCACGACCTCCTGGGACACTGCTCAGCTCGCCAGGCAGGCCGCTCTCACTGGCACGTTGGGATAAGGAACACGTGTCTGCCCTGCCTGGAGAGCTGTTGGGAAGGTGCTATGGCAGGGCCAAGCGTCCTGCAGCAGAGGCCCAGTGAAGAGGAGGCTGAGTCTGTTGGCAACGCCTTGTGCCCACTGAGCTGCCAGCGGGACACTGGTGCGCCCCAGTCAGGCGAGGTACCGGCCCCGATCTGCCTGCACAGAGCCTGCCCCCAGGGCCCTCCCGTGGGCCCTGCCAGAAGCCGGGACTCACCATTCATCTGGGAGGGCGAGAGGGAGTAGTCTCTGTCCGTGTGGCGCCAGCTGCCCTTCAGGCTGCGGCTCTGCCGGCCGGAGCCCTCCAGCGCGTTGACAATCTCGCTGCGGTCGATGTTCCTCAGTGCCGTGTACAGACTCTCGACTGCAGGGGACAGTCGGTGTCAGCAAACTGTTCGCTGGGGGAACGCAGCCCTGCTCCAGGCACTCTCCAGGCGGGCAGGCATATGTGAACCAGCAGCGTAAAGCCAGCCAGCAACCCCTGAGCTGCTCTGCACAGCCAGCCCTGCCACCTCCGTGCCTGTAACAGCACTGCAGATACTCACTCCTGACACTCTTGCCCTCACGGCTGACCCAGAGGTTGAGTAAGGCCATGCTCTGCTCCAGCAGGGAGTTGGGGTTCTCCACACGTATCCTGTTGATGTCATCCACCCCAAACTGCAGCTCACGTGCCAGCTCTGGGGGAGACACCACATCTCAGCATCACACCCTCTGGCACCCGCCGCCAGCTCCCCAGCCAGAAAGGTTTGGGGTGTTGAGAAGAGCTCAGCCAGACCCAGCACAGAGCCTCCTCCCTGTCCCATACAGCTGAAGACGGCAGAATGTGCGAGAGCAGCAGCTGGGATGGGGCAGAGCTCGAAGCAGTGTCTTGTGCTAAGGAGAAGCGCAGGTACTGCTGATGGGTGTGCGGCTGCAACAGTGCTGGGCCTCTACAAACAGCGGCAACATGTGCACCTCGGAACAAACCCCTCACCCGGTATCTGTGATGCATGCACAGCTGCAGGAAGGTTCATTTCAGTGCCACGGTACACTCACAGCCCAGCAGAAGTGCTGGAGCCCAGGCCAACCTGCCCGAGGTGCCAGCGCAGCCTGCACCCACCCCAACCGCACCAGGGCCCAGCTCCTGGCATTGCAAAGCACATTCCCTCCACCCTGCAGCGCGTTTCCAGCCTCTCTAAGGGTCAGCTTCCCGAGGGGTGTTGAGCACCCTCAGAGCTGTCAGGTGTGGACTCACCGGCCCAGCTGAGGCCCAGCTGTTCTGCTATGTCAACCATCTTCTGGTCTGCCTTGTCCGTGCTGCTCAGAGAGCCTGGAGGAGAAGAGGAGTCACAGCCTGAGCGGCGCAGGGCCCTGCACCAGGGAGGGGAGGGCAAAGGGTGCTTGGCTGTGGGGGTCTCACAGCCCATAGGCACAGAACTGCCCTGCAGGCAGCGCCAAGGAAACCCTCAGGGAAAAAAACGGAAGTTGCCACAAGCGCAAATGCGACAGGGTTAGCCCAGCCTTTCCGCTGGGCTTGGGCAGCTCACGCGCAGGTGGTGAGTGGGCTTGAAGAGTCCCAGCAGGCTGCGTACCGAAACTGGTCTCGCTTAGGATGCTGTACCGCTCCCGCAGAGACAATGGCGTCAGCGTCCTCCTCCGCTCCTCACTGCCGCTTCCCTGTGAGAGTGGGGGCAAACCAAGGGGTCACCTGCCTGAAAAGGGCAGCAGCTCTGCCCTGGCACCAAGGCTTCTCCTGCAGCCCCAGAGCGGCGTGGCATGGCCAGGTGGAGCAGCTGAGGAAGAAAAGCTGACGAGGAGGTCTGTCTCCTGCACCCAGGGGAGGGATGGGCCCCCGCTGCCCCCTCCCAGAGGTGCCAGGGACCCGGCACTGACCTTGGTGCAGGGCGGTATGCTGATGTTCAGGTGGCAGAGCACATGCTGAAGGTCCTCGTATTTCATGGCCTTGCGCAAGAAAGACAGGGAGCCACTGGCTTCCCGGCTGCTGTCCCGAACCTGAGCACCAAGAGCCCTGTTAGGTGGCCTGGCACAGAACAGCGCAGGGGCCCCAGTTGCAGCCCAGCCCTGCACCCTGCCATTACCTTGATGGGGATGACAAGACGATTCTCCCGGAAAGACTGGAATAGGAAGGTGCGGGGCTGAGTGGCCTTCTTGACAGGCACCAGGTTCCCTGAGAGCTCAACGTGCAAAGGCATCCCCTCTACTACCTGGCAGGGAGCAGAAAACAGGCTGAGACCTTGTGCAGAGCTACTTCGCCTGTCCCTGGACAGGGCAGGTAACCCCAACTCTCCTCCCCGGCATCAGTTCACTGGTATCAGTCTCCCCTCACTTTGGCAGCCCTCTCCCCACTGCCCCCCACGCACGCTGCTGGGGACAAACCTCAATGTCCCTGCTGCGGGCCACCTCAGCGAAGTTCTCGTGCTGCTCTAAAGTCTTGTCAACCTTGTCATCGGTCATGCAGTAGCAGCGCAGCCGGCCTTCCCGTGCATCATTCATCTTGGCAAACACCACGAATTTGGCCATGTAGGGCATGGCTGTCAGCTCCTTGTACAGCATTGTGGCAAAGTGCACAGCCTCGGCTGTGCGCGGGCAGTCGGCCAGCCAGAACCTGTGGGAGGGCTGGGTCAGGGCGCTGCCAGGCAGGTTCCCAGTGGCACCAGGAGAGCTGCCCCTCCCCGACAGCAAACTGTGCTGCAGAGAGTGCCCCAAGAACTCTGGGCCCCATCCCTGAGGGGGCCCCACCCAAGCACAAAGAATGGCCCCTTCCCTCAGCAAACCCGGTTGTCATGAATGTCTCCTAACACGTGCCAAGGCAGCGCTCACACTCCAGTCTCAAGGCTGGATGCAACAGCCCTGCGTGTGGGAACAGCACAGCAGCACAAGGAGCACAGGGGCAGGAGGCTCCTCCTGGCTCAGACTGCACCCCAGCAGGACCTGAAGAGCAGCAGATGCCCCCAGATGAGCACATGCTCGCCCAGGACTCACCTGGCAGACACGTTGGTGGTAAAGTTAGCACACTCATTTTCATAGACCAGCTTTGTGGTGCCTGTTATGTCTTCCCACTGGGCTTGGGCTGTCCCTCCTGCAGCAGAAAGCAAGGGTGAGCACGCTGCCCCTCCACAAGCCTGGAGTCTGCGTCCCCCGGGCATCTGCTCTCTCCGCTGCCGTGACCCATCCTTAGCTCCCAGGAACTGCATCCCACTGACATGCCCCAGCCCATCCCCACCAGAGAGCACGCTCGCCTGCACAACAGGGGCAGGCAGCCTCACCAATCACACTGCAGAGCAGGCGCAGGCTGGTGGTGTCACCCTCGCCGCTGTCCCGGGGATTGTCCTTCCAGGAGGGCGGCAGTGGGATGCGGAGGCCAATGGGACGGTGGAACTTCCTCCGGCGTGGCTCCACCGTGACGATGGGGCTGAAAGTTGCCTGGTTCCCCAGCAGCTTGGTCACCAGCTCGTCAGGCACGGGCTGCGCCTGCAGGCAGCACAAACACGGGCTTCAGGGCCAGCTTCCCCCAGGCTGGGCCACAGCCTGGGCCTGCTGCCTACCCCGGACAGCGGGAGCCCAGCTGGACTCCGGGCCGGGCGCTCGGGGCTCACCTGCAGGGCCAGCTTCACTCCCTTGGTGACAGCGCTGTCTGGGAAGGTGGCCTGTACCATGGGCACCAGTGTGCTCTGCAAACACCCTCCCTCAGGGCCGATCTGATCACAGTCCTGGCAAATCCGGGACATGACCACGAAGTAGAGAGGGAAGTCACTGGTGATGATGCGGCGGACCCTCTTCTTCTCCAGCTCTTCCAGGCTCTCCAGCTCTGTGAGGACAGCACGGCCACCCGCACTCACACACCAAGCCCACAGCTGCCACCCATCGCCCCCTCTGCACAGACCACACCATGCTCAGCTCCACCCCAGTGCCCGGGCCAGCCACAGCCCAGCCTGCGGGGAGCCACACGGTGGCCTGGTACGCTCACCCTCATCCATGCCGTTGAGCAGCTGGTCCATGTAGCTCTCTTCGTAGCGGTTGCAGTGCTCCTTCCAGACAGAGCCATTCTCACTGCGCAGCACCACCAGCTCACGGTCTCTGCGCCCGTATGAGGCAAAGTGTGGGATCTCCACAACGACGGGGCTGCAGACAGGAGAGGGAGGGTGCTTGCATCCACACACCACCACCGGGACATGCAGAGCGCCTGCCTGTGCCGTACGCCCGCTGGGGAAGAAGGCAGGACTGCTCACACCCCTCTCTGGGAAACGGGGCTCTGCGCCCAGCAGGACCACGCTGCTCAGGGCTCTTCCTACCGCTGCACAGCCGCTGCTCCCCTATGCTGGAATGACCCACCCAGACACATGCTGTGCCTGGCCAGACCTGGGATCTCTCCTGCACCAGACCCCCCCAAAGCAGAGGCAGGCAGAGCTCTTGCCCCAGCTGGCAGAGACTCGAGAGGAGCCCAGATCCATCCCCAGTCCCAAGGGACGGCCCCGGTGCAGGCAGCCCCATCCGCTCTGTTCCCAGCTGTGTTCACCTGAGGAACTGGGCGCCGGCGGGCCCCAGGGCAATGATCCGGCTGGCCAGCGCCTCCCCGTCAGCCAGCTGTGGGGGCGCAGGCAGCTTCTGGGGCTTCACCAGGCGACAGGTGATGCGGGTTGGCGCGGCGCAGGCACGGGGCGGGATGACCACGCGTAGCCCATGGTGCCGGCTGCCTCGCATGGAGCCGCCGCGGGCGTCCACCATGAAGCTCACCAGGAACCTGGAGCAGAGGCATGGGCAGGTGGGCACCTTGCGGCTGGCTCGGGTGCAGAGCATGCACATGCCAGGAGGCTGGGCACTCACCCTGTGTGCACGGGGCTGGCCACTGGGCTGATGTTATCGGAGGTCTCGGTCGCGGGGCTGCTGGGGATCAGGGAGTCCTCATCGAACTCCTTGGAGGGCTGTGTAAGGCAGGGAAGAGCCCCCATGGGCACAGGGTCCTATCTGGGGTGCTGAGCCTGCCCACTCTTCCACAGTCACACACCCCACCCTGGGCAGTCCCCACCACCCACCCCACGTTTTGGCTCTGTGGTGGTGGGACTCCCCCCAGGAACGCCTGGGAGGGCTGTGGCAGGCTGCGTCTCATGCTCACCTCCTGTGGGGACACGGAGGGCACATGCAGCAGGCTGACTTGCTCAGCTTCTGTCTCCACGGGTCCTACCTGCTCAGTCTCCTCCGCTCTGGTCACCACAGTCTCAGGGGGGATGCAGGGGACCTGCAGGACAGCTGGAGACTCCACCCTGCCAGGAGAGGGCAGTGACAGCCACCGAAGTGACGGGCCTGGGTCCTTCAGCCCCTGGCCATCCCCAGGGAGTACCAGGGCCACTGGACAAAGGCAAACTCAGCAGTGGACCCATGTCCTGGTGCAGAAACACCGCCGACTAGCTTTGCCTGCTCTGCTACCAGTATGAGCTCAGTGATCTCTTCTTTGTCCAGAGCCATCCCTGCTCTGCTGGCATCCCAGACCAGCACCAGGCCAGCCCCATGCCCTGTAATCCCACCCTCCCCATCATCCAGTGCCTCTTACATTTGCTCCAGTGTCATTGTGGTCACAAACTCCAGCATCTCCCTCTTGCCCTCCTGGTCCCTGGGATCGGGCGTTCTGGGCTTTGGTGCGACCAGTTCCTCCTCTGAAACCAAGAGCTGGCTCAGCATGCAGAGAGGCAGAAGGACAAGGGAGTACAGACATCCAGCCCTTGTCCCCATCCCTCCTCACGGCTGGGGCCAGGGCCCATCTCTGCCTCCACTGCTGGCCACACACACTTGACCCCTGGGTCTCATCCAGCCACGGCGTGGCTTTGCCCTCTGCCGGACGGGGTCTGCTGGCAGGGGCAAGGCCCGTGCTGCAGGCCAGTGGGACAGGACCTGTGGTAGCTCTCAGGAGCCTTGGCTGCTAGCCGGCCCCTTTCCCACAGCACCAAGCACAGAGCAGAGCCTGCTGAGGACGGCCTGCCGTTGGATGCTGGGGACAGGAGTGCAGGCAGGGCCGGGTTCGTGGGAAGGATGCCCTAACACACACCCCTTGGAGGGGCAGGAGCCCAGCCAGCACTGCCTGCTGGCCCAGTTAACATCTGCTGAGGGGTTCACCAGGGTTTGGCTCTCACCAACGTCCTACCAGAGGGAGTCCAGCACCTCCCAGAGCAGTGAGAGAGCCCCAGTGATGTGGAGGGGACTGCAGCAGCACAGAGACCCTCGAGCACGCAGGCGCATCCCTGCCCCGGCCAGAATGGCACAGGATGGTGGTGGAGGGGCACTGGAGTTTGTCATAGAACCAGACTTCTGGCTACTGGGCACAGGGCCTGGGGCTGAGAGGGAGCCAGGGCTCCCCCGAAGCAGGGGACAGCCCCATTCATGCAGTCACACCACAGCAAGCAGCACAGACACAGATGGGCAGGGCAGGGTGATGGGGCCTGCACTGGATAGCACCAGCTCAGCAGCAAGACTCAGCAGATGGATGTGGCGTGCGGATGGTTAGTGGCCATGGGGTGAAATGGGCCGTTGAGCTGGGGCAGGGCGACACATTTCATACCCATTACTGTGACATGAGCAGTGCCTGCAAAGTAAGAAGAGGCAAATGTGAGGTCCCGGTGGGCGGGAGCAAGAGCAGACCAGCTGCAGCTGGGCTGGGAGCTGGTGCCACCCCACAGAGCAGGGCACGGTGTGGGGCTCTGCCTGCCCAAGGGCTCTCCGCACACTGTCCCTGCCGCACAGGACTGTGGAGTGGTCCAGGCGTATCCCTCCTGCACAGTGCAAGGCAGCACCTGAGCCAGGAGGTGCCACACCCAGGGGCCTGGTGGGCTCCCCTGGTCCCACCGTGGGGCCACAGAGGTCCCCCACCCCAGCCCACAGGAACACCAGTGCCTGTCCCCAGGGCTGCTGCCTGCCACACCGGCCCAGCCAGCAGATCTCTGGGATGGTGTGACCCAGCTCCAGCCCCTCACCTTCATCCTCTGACACATCCAGAATTTCGTCTACAGTCTCCGGGAAGCTCATGCGGTGCTTGTCACCGACTGACTGCAGGAGTAGAGCAGAGTCAGAGGAGGGCATCCCTTCACTGCACAGCCACCTGCAGCCCCCTCCTCATGCCTGGGCTAGGCACCCAGCTGTCTAGCTGGCCAGCCTGCGCCCAGCAGACCTTTGCCTGGCTTCCCCCAGCCCCGGCCCTCCTCCACAGGGTGCTAGTCCCAGGGCTCACCGGGATGTCAGTTTCCTCTGTGACGATCTTGAGCACATCTGTGACAGAAATGTAACCAAGCCGCTTTGCAATGGCCAGGGGAGTGGTGCCGTTCTGTGTAAGGACGGAGCAGGTCAGCAGCAGCCACAGGGAAGTCCGGGCAGGCACCCGCGCTTGCCACAGGGTGCGGAGGTGCGGGCAAGCGCTGTACTCACCGTGCTGACCTCGTTAGGAGAGGCACCATGCTTCAGCAGCAGCGTCACCACGTCTGTGTGGCCCTGCTGCGCTGCTTGGTGCAGAGGGGTGTAGCCCAGCTGCAGGGAAGGACAGAGGATGCTGTCATCAGTTCTGGAAGTCTGCTGCCCCAGAAATGCCCCCAGGCCTCACATCGTGCTTCATGCCTGAAGCACAAAGGCAGCTCCCTCCTCTATGGGATAAGCAAAGAGCTCTGCAGAACCCAGCGCTTGCCCGGGGCTGTAGCTAGACTACAGTAGCTTCCAGCCATGGAGACAGGAGGGGGGAGAAGTAGAAGCAGGAAGGGAGGCTAAGCCTTCCCTGTCAACCTGCAAGCATCCCCCAACAACCTGTTGCCCAGGGCAGAAGGGTCCTTGGGACATCTCTGTACCTTAGTCTTGGCATTGACATCAGCCTCATGCTGCAGCAAAAACTTCACCAGCTTGATGTTTCCATAGTGGCTGGCCACATGCAGCGGGGTATAGCCCATCTGAAAGATGAGATCGGGTCTCAGCCTGCCCTCAGTGGTGCGTCCTGCCCTTCTGGCAAGCCCCCGTGGATACAGGATGGAGCATGTGTGCAGGTGCTGCCCAGGAGCCCAGGACCGGGGCAGAGCGCACACTGCTGATCACACCACGTTGTGCCCAGGGGTACAGGGGTGAGCTGTGGAAGCAGGCAAGAATTATCCCTCCAGGGAGGTGAGGAGGAGGAAGAGTCCCCAAGACACAGACAAGATGGTAAGGATGCCTGTGAGAGGAAAGACTCTTGCACAAAGTAATGCCCCTCCTGGAGCAGGCCTAGAGGTAGTTCCCCCACATGTTTTGCACCACAGCCACGGTCAATGCACTACTTTACCCTGGTTGTTGCGTCCACTGTGACTCCGTGTTTCACCAGAACATCAGCAACCAGCACATGCCCCTCTTGGGCCACAAGATGGAGAGGAGTCAGGCCACTCTGCAAACAGATGAGGTCTCAGCATGGTGGCAATGCCATCACCGCAGCTCTACCAGCAGAGACTCAGAGTCAGGTCTCCAATCTGGCAAAACTGACCGAGATGATGCTGTTGGCCAGTGCACTGCTGTCCCGGGGCCTGGACTACCACCCCATCTGCTCCTCCCTGCTGGGCTTGTTCACTGCCAGCCTGGCAGGACACGCCGGGACAACTTACCTTGTTGCCCAGGTCGCCGTTGGCTTGTTTGGAGAAAAGCAGTGCCACCATGTCCGCATGCCCCTCCTGGGAAGCCAAGTGTAGGGGGGTGACTCCCTGCACAGACTCTGCGTTTGCAGAGGCCCCGTACTGCAGCAAGCTGCTGGCCACCTCCATCTGGTTCTGCTTGGCAGCAATGTGCAGGGGGGTGTACCCGTTCTGCAGAGAGAGAGGGCCATGGCACGCTCAGGCCCTGCCCAGCAGAGCGGCGGGGACAGAAGGTGCTGCCTTGCCTCTCCAGGCCAGGCCTGCCCTTCCCAGCCTCCTCCGGAGCTCAGGCAAGCAGCTCACACCCAACCACCTCCCTGACAGCAACCAGCCCCAATGCTGACGCCACGTCCCTCTCTTCCAGCCAAGTCAGCACGGGGGTTTCAAAGACCACCCGCTTCAGGTCTGACCACTATCAACTGTTTTCCACACATTAACTCCTACAGCAGTATTCAGCCACCCTGGAGCCGTGGGAGGTCAGGGCAGACAGACACCTCCAAGAACGAGTCTGACTGAGGTGTGGAACAAAACGCGCAATATGCAGGATTAGTATTCAGGCAGACTGCAGGGCCCTGAGCGCTGCCTGTGCTGCCGCACCGCAGGAGCAAAGCAGCCGTCAGACCCCCTCTGCCCGGGGTGACGCGGTGACACAGACCAGCCGGGGGGATTGGTGCCGGTACCGGCTGCTCCCGCTGCTGCCCAGCGAGTCTGCGGCAGCCTGCGCAGGGGAGGGCCAGATGGCGAGGGCCGGCACCAGCAGCCACTTGTCTGTTCTGAGGATGCAGTGTCTGCAAACAATGTGGGAACTGAGGCTGCTGGTCTGCTCTCTGGGGAGATGTTCCCCACGCTCAGGCAGAGAGGGGCGACTCTCACGAGCTCGTGGGTTTTCTGACTCACTGCCTCATAGCTGCATGCAAACACTCCTTTGTGGCTTCCCAAACTGCCAGACCAACACGCTGCTCCGCAGGGCTTGCCATGGAAACATGTCCCCAAGCAACAGCCACCAGCTGCCAGCAGGGACCATCCCCAGCACAGCCTGTCTGCTGGAAAAGGGCGAGCGCCCGGCAGCCCTGCCCGCCCCACCAGCTGCTGCAAGGGACGGGCAGGTGTCGGCAGCAGGCGTGGAGAGCAGCTAGTGGTGATCGGTCCCTTGTCCGCTCCCTGAGCGCCAGGGTCGAGAGGCAGTGCTGGCCCCAGAGTGGCAGGCACTGGACACACGGCGCATCCCCACACCCCCAGGGACACCCGGACCAGCCTTACCCAGGCTGAGCTGTGCGGGGAGCTCCCCTTGGGAAGCAGCAGCTTGACGATCTCCAGGTTGTTGTGGTGCACGGCCACATGCAGCGGGGTCAGGCCATTCTGGGGAGGGGAGAGGGCACAGACAGGTGAGACAGAGACTCCCCCTGTACCAAACACTCCTCCCACTGCCACAGGAGCAGCACGCACCTTCCCTGCTGCATTGGGGTGAGCGTCACGCGCCAGCAGCAGTTCTGCTACATCCACCTTCCCGTACTTGGCTGCAACGTGGAGAGGGGTAAATCCTTTCTGAGGAGAAAGGCAGCACATCACAGGGTGCACAGGGGTGAGGAGGAGAGCACTGGTGCATGCTGCAGCACAGGACAGTGACAGGGACACTGTGCCACCAGCCTGCCTGGCCTTGGCCCAGCTGGGTCACGCATTCAGTGGCCACAGCAGCCCACCTTGGTCATGCAGGTCTGGGAGGCTCCCTTCTGCAGCAGGGCCAGGGCCGTGTCCACATGCCCCTCTCTGGAGGCGATGTGCAGGGGCGTGTGCCCCGCTGTCGTAGCCAGGTTGGGGTTGGCGTTGTTCTCCAGAAGGAGCTGGACCATGCTGGTGTGGCCAATGCGTGCGGCACAGTGCAGAGGAGTCTGGTCATCCTGCGAGGGAGGCAGAGAAGCTGTTTGGGCAGATCTAGACCAGTCCCTTGCTTGTCAAGCCAAAGGGGCCCCAGCTCTGCTCCTGCTGTTGCACAGCTCCTGGCAGGCCAGCTTCTGCACAGGCAAGAGCAAAGAAACCAGCACCAGCTGTTCCCAGATCTGGACTATCACACAGGTTCTCTGTACCCACCTTGGCCTTGGCGTTGACTTTGGCTTTGTTCTGCAGCAGGTATTTTGCCACATCCATGTGCCCAGCTCTGGCTGCCATGTGTAGGGGTGTCTCCACTTTCTGCACCAAGGACAGGATAAAGTGTCAAGGCCATAGGAGGGGATAGGCCTTCCGGCCACCATTCCTCTGGTCTGAGCGCAGGAGAGCAGTGCCCACAGCCTCTTCTGGCCCCTACCAGCTCCTCCTGCCAGCACAAAGTGGGGGCCACCAGGGATTGCTCAGGAGAGCAGAGAGAGCAGGACTCGGGCACCCCCCACCTCCTGATGGACCCCGCCATGCTGACTCCCCACAGCTCCAGCCAGCATGGGACTCACCACATTGGACACATTAGGAGAGGCTCCACGCTGCAGCAGGGTCTTGACGATGGGCAAGTGCCCCATGAAGGCAGCCACATGCAGGGGGGTCAGGCCAGACTGTAGAGAGAAAGGGGCCAGGAGCGAAGATGGGGTTGATGGCCTTGCCAACACATCTTCCTGCCCCCTCCTCCTCCTCCCCCTCCCCAGGGCACACTCCACCACAGAGGCAAACTCTGGGTGCCCAGCCTGGCCCTGACAGCCTGGCAGGTGCCTGACGGGATCACGGAGAGCTGCTGCCGGCCCTGCAGTCCCCTGCCCTGCAGGGAGTAAGCTGTGGGGAGATGCTGCCAGGCTCAATGGGTCCTGAGCTGCAAAGAGCTCTAAGCCACGATGAAGGAAGTGCCTGGGGACAAGCAGAAGCACCAGAACCACCTGCACAGGCAGCAGCAGGAGTGCTGCAGCTCACCTACCTCCGTGACGGCGTCGATGGAGGCACCCGTCTTCAGCAGCAGCTCCATCACCCGGATGTGGTTCTTCTTGCAAGCAATATGGAGGGGCGTGAAGCCATTCTGCGGATGGAGAGATGGAGTCATTTCTGAGAACACTCTCCCTCTCCCCCACTCCAGCCCTGCCTGCCCCTCCTCACTCACCAGGGCCCGGGAGTTGGGCTTGGCCCCCTTCTCCACCAGCAGCTTGGCCACGCGGTGGTGCCCGCAGTGCGCAGCCACGTGTAGCGGCGTTAGGTGGTCCAGGGTGATGTCATCGATCTCGGCGCTGTACTGCAGGAGCAGGCGCACGCAGTCCAGGTGGTCGCCCTGCGCTGCCATGTGGATCGGCGACAAGCCGTTCTGCAGCCGCGGAGCGGGGCATCAGGGCTGGGCCAGGGCAGGGACCGCGCAGTCCACCCAGCCCCTGCCTCACTCCCCTGGCCACAGCTCTGGGCCACAAGGGACGAGGTGTTCCCCGGGGTGCTACCAGAGAGGAGCCCCGAAATCCCTCGCCAAGACTTACAGGGGAGCAACGCCGAGCACTGGGCAGGGCCTGCAGCACTGCGGCCACAGCCGTCCCCAGGCCAAGCCCTTCCCAGGGCTGGTCCCTTTGAAGCATGCAGCCCTCAGGCAAAGGGCTCCAGCTAGGGCCAAGGAGGTCAGGAAGCTCCTTACGCCCTGGCAGGCCGAAAACTCAGCACCAGCCCAGCCACAGGTGACATGCAGCAACTGTGCACAGCTTGTTACCCCCCCGTGCTGCCCTGGCTCCTGGCACCAAGCACAAGCCCACAGTGACCTGCAGGTACCTTGGTTTTGGCTTGAATAGGAGCCCCATGGTCCAGCAGGATCTCGGCAATCCGCACGTGTCCATTGCGAGCTGCACAGTGGAGAGGGGTCAGCTCATCCTGGGGAGAGAGAAGGATTCACGGGCTCAGCCGTGGCCAAGGAAGCACAGGGCCACCCTCACCAGGAGCAAGAGGCACTTCGGACTTGTTT